CTTGTGCGCGAGCCAGGGTTGGATACGATCATTTCGGGGGGAGGTTAAATGCAACACTCCCCTGTAGGGGCTTTCTATTGGTTTTCCTTTTGCCGCCAGTTGCAGTGGGCGGGATTTGCTTCTGCACCCCAACGCCAGGGTGTGTTCTGATTGGAAGGGCCGGTGCAGAGAAGAGAGGCGCCAAGAGGGACATGCTTAGAGTGCTCCCTACCCAGGCAGGGTGACCGCCCTGAGGAATGGGTTGTGCCGGCCTGCAAGCTGTTTTATGGGGAGGGTAGATGAAGGAATAGACCCCACACTGACCACAGGACCCCTTGTGTAAAAAGTAAGGAAAATTCAACCAATAGCTGACATAGTGGTTAAGGCTCTGGACTCCCACATTTTGAACCATGGTTTGAGTCCAGGACCATGTGGCTTTAATCTCATCCCAGGTCCATGTGTGAGCCTGCCCAATAACCTGAGGGGAGAACTGAGGGTAGGAGGTGGTGGCATGGCCATCCCCCTGGGGTGTGATTCTCACTTTCTGTCTCTCTGCCTCCTGCGAGTGCATGTGCCCTATAGCAAAAATCTAAAAAAGAAAAAAAAAAGACATGGGGAGATTGCCTCATAGCCAGACACCGGTGTTTCACAGCCTGCATGTGGCAAGGCCTAGTAATTAAGCTGAAGTTATTGGTTAGAAGGCTACTTGCTCAGAGTTTCCCTAAAGAAACTGAAAGTAGAGCCCACCATATTCCTTGAGTCACCAGGAGCAGGATCTTGAGTTTGCACAATTTTCTGGGTGGTAAGATACACTCTGTGGGAAATCTCATGAGTTCTATAAATTAATCACACCCGAGAATGTTTAACATTCTCATGTTGGCATTATAGTGGAGGAAACTGGTTACTATTCAGAAAATATTTAGAACAATACCTGGTTCACACTAAGCACTATACACTTTTTAATAAATTTACTACAGGGCCAGCTGGTGATGTGGCAGTTAAGGTGGCTGGATCCCACACAGGCCACTCTGTGGTTTGAGTCCCTGACTTGAAAAACACCATTGCGTGTGCAGGAGCCCAAAATCCCAAGAGAAGGAGAGGTGAGGTGGAGGAGGGAGTATTGCAGCACAATTATCCCCCATGGGGGTGGAGTGGGGAGTCATTCTCCTCTCTCTCTCTCTCTCCCTCTCTCCTTGTCTCTGTCTGGGAAGCATAAATAAAATGTTAAAAAGGAAGTAAATATAAAAGGAGAATTTTCTCCTCCTCCTCTTCCCCCGCCCCCTAGGTAGGTGTGCCTGCAGAGAAACAGAAATATAGGATGGAAGGACCTCCTCTCCGTATGGGGCTGTTCACTCGAGCAATTATTTTTTCTCCAGTGAGGATTTTGGCATGCACATGTAGGCATGGTTTTCAAACTATTGGAAAGAGATTTCAACTACAGTCAGCTATGTGACGATCCAGCTCTCTCTGTACAGGGCTTAACCACTGTACTAAGGAGCTGGTCCTTAAAAGGAGAATTTTGTGCTTAGGTATTTTAAAGGTTTTTATCCCTGGGTCGAGTGCCTAGTGACTCATGGTTAAAGTAGCTGGATCTCACTTAGCTGTGTTCAAGCCTGACCTAGTGTCTTGAGAAACACACTGGGCTTAGGTGCAGATGACCAAAATCCCCAGAAGAGAAAGAATTCTTTTCCACGGGGCCATATCCCCTAGCGTGGCTCGCTCGCTCGCGCTCTCTCTCTCTCTCTCATTTTCTCCCTGATGGACGCATTTGCCCTCTAGCAAATTGGGGGGGCGTGACTATCTTTTACAGACACAGAGCACCCGCAGCGCAGGTCAACGGAACGGTATTTTTTATGCTTATGACTTTTGCGGAATGACATGTACCCTTTGGCCCACAGTCCTTTTTTCCCCGGAGTTTCACGTCCGGGTTGAACAGGAACCGGGTCTCCCGACAGCGCGGAGACTCACAGAGCCTCAGGCGGAACCGCAAAGAGTTAGGAACGCGGTTTCCCGACCGGCTTATTCACTCGGGTGCACACGCCCCTCTCCATCGCAGCCTCCTCTCGCGGGGGGAAGGCCTTCATGCAGGTATGGGGACGCTTCCCAAGGTTTCCTCCCCATTGCGCGCTTCCGCGAAGGCGGGTCCTAGGGCCCTCGGCGGCAAAGAGCTTCCTGGGGTCGGGCAGGTTTATTTTTCCTCGCCTCAGGTGACTCCCATGTCCAGCTCAGACACTCACTGAATTCTTATGACTTCCCCAAGGTACCTGCTTATTGTGAGGAAGAGGGACAAAATATGCCAAAAAGTGGTGTTTGTTCAGGCCTGGTATTTATTACTGTGAGAGATCTCCTGTTTTTGTCTTACATGATGTCATGGTGTCCAATAGTCCAATGGTTTTTGAGGTCAGAACTGTATTTGAAGAACTAGATATGATAGAAATACAGACAGGACTGCAGGGTGAAGCACATATAGACCAGAACTTCTGAGAAACAACAGGGAAGAATGGTAGCATTGCAGGATTGTTGCCTTTGAAAGGGCTTTCCTCACTGCCCGAGCTTCGTACCCTAAAGTGAGCTTCTCAGAAATGTATTATAAACTGGCAGATTTTGGCTGACTCTGGCACGCATCCCTGTTATATTTTGTTTTGTAGAAGTTTTTGCCATAGGGTGCATGTGCTCGCCAGAGAGGGAGAAAGAGACAGTGAGAAGGAAAGTGAGAAATCAGCCCCCAGGGGGATGGCCATGCTCCTATTCCTTCTCCTCCCAGGATCTTGGGCATGCACATGCCGCACAGTCAACCATGTGGGAGTCCAGCAGCATTATCACTAGGCCATCTGCTGGCCCTCCACATCCCTGTTTGTGATGACTACTAGCATACTTTCTGATAAACATTTCAATCAGCTGACACTGAATAAGTGCAATGCTTCATACATACATTGCTATTTATGGCCAATTGTGAAAAACTAGAAAATCCTGACCCCACATTCCTACCTAGCAACAATGTGATGTCAAAGATGTGTAGAAACCAGAATCTTTATAATCTGATGGTGGAACTATCTCAACCTCATTGGAAAACAATCCAACAATTGGTTTTAAAAAATTCAAGCATAAAGTTACCATTTGGACTGCAAAATTCACTCTGGACATAAAAGCAAGAGAA